AGGTGGCCCCCCATCTTATGGACGGTGTAGGACGTGATAATATCAACTTGCGAGCTGACCAGGAACTAAGTTGATGCGCCGTTGATCCGCTAGATTTGGTTGGATGCTGGTGGTGAGTTGCCGAACTCAACGAATACATTCTGAAGTCGGATGGGGTGACGGATTAGGGTGCCCCTCTAGCAGGGGAGAGCAGGGACTGCCCCGGGAAAGGGGGCCGCTGGCGAAGTTAACCACCCTGTAACAACATACATACATACATACATACATACATACATACATACATACATACATACATACATACATACATACATACATACATACATACATACATACATACATACATACATACATACATACATACATACATACATACATACATACATACATACATACATACATACATACATACATGCCCCCCCCACCACCCAAATTGCACCCCACCCCACCATCAGGGTTTCAACCCGGCAGAGGTTCCGGAGCATTACGGCAACTCGCTGTACGTGTGGGACTGGAAGGCCAGGTCCCTCCAACAGAAGATCGATCTGGGGCCCAAGGGCCTCCTGCCCCTGGAGGTGAGGAGGACTGGGTAAAGGCCGGCCAGAAGGGGGGAAAGGGGAGTTGCCGGGCAGGCATCCGCCAATTTCTCACCCTTATTTCCCGTACATATGTACATACGTACGTACGTACAAGTAGCCAAGCTTGGTCATGTCACCACGTATAGGCCACACACACACACATCCCTCTACCCGGCATCTCTACAGCTGCACACTGCTGCTGGAGTGCTGCTCGCTGCACACACACACACACACACACACACACCCTTTCATCAACACAACTACACATGGCCGCTTGATTGCGCCGGTCGCTGCCCCCAGGTGCGGTTCCTTCACGAGCCCTCCTCCCCTCACGGCTTCGTGGGTGCCGCCCTGTCGTCCAACGTCATACACTTCACACGGCCAGCTGAGAACGACCCGTGGGTCGCTAATGTGGTGGTGGAGCAGCCCTGGGTCAAGGTACGAACCCTCGCCCCTACTCACCATCGGATTCAGTGTGCGTGCATGTGAAGAGTTAGACAGACAGGTAGACAAATCAACAGAGAGACAGACAGATAGATAGACAGCGTAAGAGAAAGGGGGATGCATAGGGAGGGAGGGAGGGAGGGGAGGGGAGGTGTTGGGTGCGGATCTCTCGTCTCTTTTCACTCGGCCCGGTGGTGGATACCTGCCGGGTACCGGGTACGGCCCCCTGCTTGTGAACCCCCTCCTCCCCCTCCTCCGCCTCCCCCTCCTCCGCCTCCCCCTCCTCCTCCACTTCCGCCTCCGTTTTGGACGATCTAACCTTACCATCACTACTCTTGACATCCGCCTCGCTCACCCGCTCCACCTGTCCTCACCCTTTTCCCCGCCTTCTTCCTCGTGCCCAATCCTGACCCCCTGAGACTGGCGTATCAGTTCATACTTCTGGCGTATCAGTCTATCCCTGGCATCAGCTTCACTCGTTCCTGGTTCGTCTTTCCCCTTCGACACATACATACACACACACACACCTCAGAGGCCTCTACACGTGTTGAATCCCTCCCCCCCCCATTCGCACTTGCACCTACACACACACACACACACACACACACTCACTCCCCTTCCCCCCCCCCCCCCACACACACACTCACAGGTGGAGGGCTGGGTGCTTCCCGAGCTGCCCCCTTGCATCACCGACATCCTCATCTCCCTGGACGACCGCTTCCTGTACGTCTCCAACTGGCTGCGTGGAGATATCGTACAGTACGACATCTCCGATCCCGCTGCGCCGCGCCTGGCGGGCCGCGTCTGGTTGGGCGGCCTGGTTCGGAAAGGCGGCCCGTTGAAGGTGCTGGGGGGCTTGCCAGAAGATACCCCCGGGCCGCCCGAGATTCCCACCGTGGGAGGCGTGGAGCTCCGGGGCGGGCCGCAGATGCTGCAACTGTCACTGGACGGAAAACGGTTGTACGTTACAAACAGTTTGTACAGCCCGTGGGATAAGCAGGTATACCGTAGTAGGGTGTACGAACACGGGCTGGGATGCTTGGTTAGCGCAGCTGGTGCTTGGTGTGGTTATTTTTGCGCGGGAAAAGGTTGGTCTGTGGTTTTTTTTATGAAGTCTGCGAAATTCCTCTTGCCTAGGACTCGTTGTTGTTCGGGTGTAGGTGTATTCCATATCATAGTGCGATTTCTAAACAATCGTACTACCGTACTACAGAGTGTATTGCCGTATTTAATTATCATACACGTATACATACTTACCTTTGCGTATACAGTCACGACACGCCTCAAGTTCCCATCCGATGCGAGTATGAAAATAAAGAAACACTTAAATAGTCTTACAGACCGGCTGCTGCCCAATTCGGGAACCCTATGTCCCTTCCCTCACCCCACCCCACCCCACCCCACCCCACCCCACCCCACCCCACCCCACCCCACCCCACCCCACCCCACCCCACCCCACCCCACCCCACCCCA